AAAAAAAGTATGGGCTTCCCTGGTGGCTCAGAGGTTAAAGCGTCTGCCTGCAGTGCAGGAGACCTGGGTTCGATCCCTGAGTGGGGAAGATCCCCTGGAGAAGGAAATGGCAACCCACTCCAGTATTCTTGCCTGGAGAATCCCATGGAGGGAGGAGCCTGGTGGGGTACAGTCCATGGGGTCGCAAAGAGTCAGACAGGACTGAGTGACTCCACTTTCACTTTCAAATCTAAAAAAAAAAGTATATGTGAAGAACTTTTTAAGATTTAGCAGTAGTTGAAGGGCAATAGAATTTGTCTGTGAATGCATTCAAAGTCCATAAATAAAACAAAGATGACTCCTTCAAAGCAAATGTTTTCTTCTTATTATGACAGCTTCATTATGTTGACATCTTTATGTTAACTATGGCTCCTGTTTTTTTTTTTTAATGATTAATAGACTTCATTCTTTAGCACAGTTTTAGATTCACATGATAATTGGGCAGACAGTACATATAGGACTGCATATAGAGGGCCATACATCCACCACGTGCACCCCTCCCCAACCGACCCCCTCACATGGTTTCTACTATTAATAACATCTTTCAGTATGGTTACAATGAATGAACCAATACTGATACATTTTTATTAATTAAAGCCTGTGGTTTACAGGATATTTCACTTTCGTGTTATACATTGGGTTGTACATTCTATGGACTTTTGACATATATATATAATTATGTGTCTACAATTATAATATACAGAGCAGTCTCACTACCCTAAAAATCCTGTGTTCTGCCTATACATCCCATCCTCCTCCTAACCCCTGGCAACCACTGATCTTTTTTTACTGTCTCCATAGTTTTGCCTTTTCCAGAATGTCATATAGTTGGAGTCACACAGTATATAGCCTGGCTTCTCTCATTTAGCAATACTGTATATACTTCAGATTTGTCTACATCTTTTCATGGCTTGATACCTCATTTCTTTTGATCATTGAATAACATCCCATTGTCTGGATATACCAGTTTGTTTATCCATTAACCTACAGAAGGACATCTTGGGTGCTTCCAGTGTTTGGTGAATGTTAACAAATGTGTGGATGCAGGTTCTCATGGGGACCTTTGTTTCAACTCATCTAGGTAAATACCAAGGGGCTCAAATGCTGGATCATGTGGTCAGACTCCGCTTAGCTTTGTGGAAAACTACCATGCTATCTTCCAAGATGGTTGCACCATTCTGCATTCCCACCATCAGGGAACGACTGTTCCAGTTGCTCTGCATCCTTTCCAGGTTTGGTATTATTAGTTTTTTGGATTTTAGCCATTCTAGAAGGTATGTTGTAGTATTTCATTGTTTGACTTACAGATCTCTGACATGTAATGAATATTGCCCTCTATTTTGATGAAGAGTCTCTTCAGACCTTTTGCTCACTTTTACACTGGGCTCTTTGTTTTCTTACTGAGATTTGAATGACTTGTTTAAAAAAGTGGGTCATCTCATGAATAAATAAATAAGAGTGAGGGAAGAGACTCGGCGACCATGGCAGAAACTACATTCCCCTTTTCCCTCACTATCAGAGCCCTAACACTGGTGCAGACAAGGTCCATGGCTTGTTACTTAGCATTTTAGATTCTTTGGCATCTAAGGGTGGTCAGTGTGACACATGTCTGGCCAATCAGAAGCAGGCAGAAGGTGGTGGTTGGGACCTCCCAGAAAGATTGTTAAGGGGAAGATTCAATTGGCAGTCATCTCTTTGCCCTTGCGTCCTTTACCCATCCCCCTACCATTTTCCAGAGTACGAGACAGCGTCCAGAGGGGAGCAGGCATATGTTAGACGGAGACAGAGTCAGGTGTCAAGGACAGCAGAGACAATGGGGAGAAGGAGGGTGACACCCACTGACCCCTTGGAGCTGAGGCAGAAGCCCCAGGCTGACTCCGGACTTCCCACTATGTGGTTAAGAAACACCCCCTTTCCCCCCCTCCCTCTTATACACTTGACTCAAGTTTCTGTTACAGGCAACAACAACAATTGACTCCAGATTTGGCAACATTTTTCAAGCTCTGTTAAGTGTGAGGCATTAGCCCTTTAATGAAAATGCTCTGAGCAATTTTATCTGAAGGACTGGTTCACAGAAGTAGTATATTTGAAGAAAATTTTCTACATTGTGGACACAGTACTAGGGTAGGTTTATATTTACTGGATGTTCCAGCACTGCTCTAGACATTATGCAGTGAGGAAACAGGAGTAGAAAGTAAGTGCCTTACCCTCATGGGATTTACCATCTAATTTGAGATCAGACCAACTTCTAGGAGACAACCCTGCACACATCAGGATAATACAATTAAGAGCTAATAGAAGGTGTAAATTAAGTGTAGCAGCACTTTATATACGGTGGTGGGGGGCGGTCACTGAAGCCAGGAGGAACAAGGCAAATGTGATTAGCAGCCCTGAAAACACACTCTGGGTAATCTATGCCTTCATGTTTTTGAATTCTAAATCAATGACCTAAATATAGACATGGAAGCTACTCCCCTGGGTAAGTGAAGACAGACTGAAGAAAAAACATTTTAACTTGAATGCCAATTCAGCTTTGAATTGAGCAGAAAATTATCACTTGGGTATTAATATTTCAAATACAGAGCACTATGATAATTCACTAATATCCTGTTTACCTTATGAATGACCAGAATATTTCATGTTGCCATGATATGGAAACTAAATATATGTCACCTTAAAATAGAGCTTCAAAAACCCTTCCTTTGGAAGTAATGTAGGTTAATAGATTACACATAAAGAGGGGTGCATGCTTTTTCTTCTGCATTTCTGGTGCTGCAAACATTGCTGAAATTGTTATCAACTACTATGCATTTTTCCTAGCATGTAGTTGCTGTTACCAGCAGGATAAGATGTGGGTAGTTATCACATGTCTGTAAAGACAACCTGAGTTAGTTTTTCTAGAACTCTTTATTGGGATTTGAACTTGGGATTTAGTGATCTTATTGGTAAATCAAAAGAATAAAGCTGTTGTTCAGTCATCAGGTCATGTCTGGCTCTTTGCAACCCCATGGGCTGTAGCATGCCAGGCCTCCCTGCTGCCAAGTCACTTCAGTCGTGTCCGACTCTGTGCGACCCCATAGATGGCAGCCCACCAAGCTCCTCTGTCCCTGGGATTCTCCAGGCAAGAATACTGGAGTGGGTTGCCATTTCCTTCTCCTAGGCCTCCCTGTCCCCTACCATCTCCTGGATTTTGCCCAAGTTCATATCCGTTGCATTCGTGCTGCCATCCAACCATCTCATCCTCTGTCGCCCTCTTCTCCTTCTGCCTTCAATCTTTCCCAGCCTCAGGGTCTTTTCCAGTGAGTCAGTTCTTTGCATCAGGTGGCCAAAGTATTGGAGCTTCAGGTTCAGCTGAAGTTCCCCTTAACAATGAGTATTCAGGGTGGATTTCCTTTAAGATTGACTGGTTTGATCTTACTGTCCAGGGACTCTCAAGAGCCTTCTCCAGCACCACAGTTCAAAAGCATCAATTCTTTGGCGCTCTGCCTTCTTTACGGTCCAACTCTCACAACTGTATGTGACTACTGGGAAGATCATAGCCTTGACTATAGGGACCTTTGTTGGCAAAGTGATGTCTTTGCTTTTTAACACACTGCCTAGGTTTGTCATAGCTTTCCTGCCAAGAAGCAACTGTCTTCTAATTTCATGGCTGCAGCCACCATCCGCAGTGATTGTACAGCCCAAGCAGAGGAAATCTGTCACTGCTTCCACCTTTCCTCTTCTATTTGCCATGAAATGATGGGGCCAGATGCCATGATCTTAGTTTTTTTAATATTTAGTTTTAAGCCTGCTTTTTCACTCTCCTTCATCCTCATCAAGAGGTTCTTTAGTTCCTTTCGTTTTCTGCCATTAGAGTGGTATCATCCGTGTATCTGAAGTTGTTGCTGTCTCTCCCTGCAAGCTTGATATCATTTTGTAACTCATCCAGCCCTGCATTTCTCATGATATGCTCTGCGCATAAGTTAAATAAACAGGGTGACAATAAACAGTTTTATCATACTCCTTTCTGAATCGTGAATCAGTCAGTTGTACCATACAAGGTTTTAACTATTGCTTCTTGACCGGCATACAGGTTTCTCAGGAGGCAGGTAAGATGGTCTGTTATTCCCATCTCTTTAAGAGTTTTCCACTGTTTGTTATGATCCACACTTCCTTTAGGACCTAGGAGAACATAATTGGCTTCTCTCTCTTTTTGTCGTCCTTTCCTCCCTTTTCCTCCCCCTTCCCCTTCTTTTCTTTCCTTAAGTTTACCCCTAAGTCATCAAGTCCCACTGCCACGGGGCTTGGCTGAGTAGTTTCAGGCGTACCCTGCGTTTAATAGATATTGTGGATTCTCTCACATTTGGAAAGTGGGAGACTGGAGTTGGGGAAAAGAAGGGAAAACACCTGCAGAGGGAGATGAGAATGCTCTGCAGGGAGGCTGGTAAAGGATTTGAGAAGGGCATAAGACCAACCGCGGGCACGGCTCTAATCCTCTCAGGGCGGCCAGCCCTCAACTCTGCAGCACGCAGGTACATGCATCTCTGACTGCAAGAGCTCTCCAATCCCTCCAAGGTTCAGGTAGGGGAGGACACCCGAGGGACTGCAGTGGGCCCACCGTAAGCGGAGAGGACGCACGGCCCCCACACTAAACTCTGCCCAAAGCGTCCTCACCTGTCCAACCCCCGGGGGAGGGACTTCGGCCAGAGCCTCATCCCCAAGCCCGGGGCGGAGGACCAAGGCTAAGTACCACCTCCTCCGCAATGCCCCGCCCCTCGGCGCAGACACGCCGCGCTCCTACCGCGTTCCCATTGGCCGAGGCTCCCGCCAATCCGAGAGCCGCGGTCGGTGAGCGGGCCCTGGTTGGTGGAGCCGGCGCTGGGCCCCACCCCGCTCCGCCGGGCCCCCAGCCGGGAGGGGGCGTGGCCGCGGCCGTGGCCGGGCCGGAGGCGGCGTCGCCGGCGCCGCTGCGCGCGGGGCGGTGCGGGGAGGTGCGGGGCGGCCGCGGCGGGACCATGGAGCTGGGGGCGCGGACCGGTGAGTGCGCGCTGCGGCCGGCCGGCTGTCTGTCCCCGGCCTCGATCTCTGCCGGCTCCGGGCCGGGCGGAGGCGGGCGCGCGCCCCGAAGCCCCGCGGCCAAGTGAACTTGCTGCATCGCCCTGGCGCCTGGGCGATCGGCGGGGCCCACTGCGGCCCGGCGCATCCTCCCAGCCGGCTTCCCGCGGTCGGTCTGCGGCCCTTGGCCCCGGTACGCGCCTCCTGGCTGCAGGGCGGACGCCCGGGCCTCGGCTCGCGCCGCACGCACGAGCGCGGGGCTGCCCAGCGCCCGGGAACCTCGCGTCCCTCCGGGCTGCGCGCGCCCTCGTCGCACCTTGGCCCGGTCCCCGGGTGCCCGCCGCCCGAGGTCCGGCCTTCTCCGCTCGGCTCGGCCCTCCCCCGGGGCTGCGGGCACCCGAGGTCAGGGTCCCGGCCTCGGCCTTCGTTCGGGCTGGGCTCCGGGAAGGGGTCGGCAGCCCGGGAGCGGCGCGCCGCGGGGCCGCGGGGTCGCTGGGCAGGGATGCGTCCTTCGGGGAGACTCTCCCGGCGGGGCCCGGGGCTTCGGCCGGGGGGGGGAAAGCCTTTGCCTCTCGGTGTGCCTGCTCACGGGCAATGGCGATTTCTTCTTGGTTCAGTCTCTGCAAGGGAGAGTTCCCTGGTGGAGAGCAGAGTTCTTAATTATTAAGAAACTCAGCCGTGGGCTTAAGGGATGAATGGAACATCTCATTTCTTAGCTGCTATTGGGCGGAATAGGAATTCTTTCTCATTTGGGGGTGAATTTTAAATACTCAGTCACTACTAGCAATAATTACTAAGTTTTTAAAAGCTGACACTTTAAAAGGTCTGCTTTAGCTTTTGAAACGCTTCAAATCAAGTGTCTCGTGGGGCAGGAGATACTAACTTAAGAACTGGAATCCACATTTTTTTAAGGGGAGGAGCCAGCCATTAGAAATGTTTTGCATCTTTAAAAAAAATGAGGTTTGCCAAAAATTTAAAATGTCTGCTTCTCTATCGAAATTAGGTTCAAAGTATTATAATTGACTTACTTTTCTTTTGCCTCTAGGGCAAATTCCGTTGAAGGTTGGTTGCTTCTTTTTGTATCTGCTTCACCCAACTTTCCTTTTCTAGCAGTGAAACAATGCGGAGATTCTTGAAAGCTAGTTCTTTTTATCTGCTTGAGAGGTTAAACAAAAGGAAGCCAGTCTGGTCTTTCCCATAGGCAGTTCTCATTGTGTGTCTGGGCTCCTTTCTAAGAACAGCCACAGTCAGACTCATTTTTCTTCATTTTAAAAGACCTTCTTAATTTATATTCATGAGAGTTGTGTCTTTTCAGACGTTTCGAGCTCACTAGGTTGGAAAGTTTGGTTGGCTTTATGTAGTTACCATCTGACCTGTAGTCTCTGTTTTCTTACCACCGTGAAAAGCTTGTTCTAGAACTATCTACTTATAAAAAATTGTTCCTGCCCTTCTGGTTGCTGACCTGAAGTTGCATTATAGCATCGTTTTCTCTGTCTGTCTCAGATTTATTGACTGAATAGTCAATGATGTTCTATACCATTTTTACAAATTCTGAATATAAAGGTAGAAAAACACACTTCGCTGAGCAGTCCTGCCAGCATTAGAGCATCCCTTCTCTTCCCGGTGTGTCCTTGTATGTGGGCTTTACGCTTCTTCCTGTGGAGACCTGCATGTGACAAGGAACTTTTTGGTTATTGGAACATTTTGATGGAAACAGTTGCCTGTTCCAAGTGTTCAGCGTTATCTGAGCTCCTGGGCCACTCCTGATGGTCCTTCAGAGTGCCCAGAACTTCCTCTGAAGGATAGCTCTTCGAGATTGCGTTTTCCAGGCATAGGCGACTGTCGTTCCTTTTATTTTCTTGGGAGCGCCTCCACATGGCTGGACAGACTGCAAATGCTCAACTTTTCTTTTCCATACTTTTCTCAGCATCTGGTTTTTCCAAATGCTCTTGGCATTTGGACCTCTGCATTCTTCTTCAGCGCTGGTTCTTTACCTCCACCTCATTTTAGGCAGGTAATACAGGAATATCGTAGACCAGCAGTGCATAAATAATGCATATTGTACAATAAATTTAACATCACTCTAGAGATCAGTGGAGTAGAAAGTCTGCAGTCTCCTCTCCTCCTCTTACTGGCGCTCTAGTCCTGTCCTGTTTCTTTCTCCATGGTCAGATGTGTCCTTGGAGAATGGGCACTGGGGCAAGGCTGGAGGGAGGGGGGTTGAAGAGTAGGATGGGGCTGTGTGTGTTGGCAGAGGGAGGGGACAGGGCCATGCAGGGTGTTGGCAGGTGGATGGCACTTCTGTCCCTCGACACCAGGTCAGGGAGCAGCAGCCATTCCCTTGGGGGAAGATGCTGACCTTGTCAAGTTCGAGGTGCCTGCAGGGCGCATCGGTCAGTGGCTGCACTGGGATCCAGATATTGGGAGGTGTCTGGACTTGGACACATACACTCAGGAGCTCTCAGCACACTGGCTCCCAAACTACTTGCCACAGTGAACTCGCAGGGAGACTGTGGGGATTAAATTGTTGAAGGACCCTCAGCGGTGCAAACACCTGTCAGTGCTGAGCACCTAAGGACAGCTTCCACCGGAGTTTCTACAAAATTCCTTCTGATGATGTCGTCTTTGCAAAGCTAGGCCTTCCCTGCTTGCTAGGGAAGGGCTTGGGGGAATGGTTTCCAGTCTGACTCCAGGTGTGAGAAATTGTGAGCTGTTCCACACAGGCATGTGGGCTGTTCATGGTTTATTTAAGAGTGAAGTAAAATACCTGTTTTCTCTCAATAGAAGTGCACTGTTTTCAAATGGGTACTAAGTTGCTAGTAGATACTTGTTACTTTCATGTAGCTAAGGGTTTCATTACTGGCTGGGTATTTTCTGGGTGCAGTGAGCAGAGAAAGTTCTGGAACTTCTGCCTTTGTTAACAGTGGAGGCTGTGGAGTAGATCGGGTTATTCAGGAAGCATGTGTAGAGTGAGAAGAGAAGTGAGGAGAATGGGTTCTGAGGGGTTCTCATATTTAAAAGGCAGGCTGCCATGTCAAGACTGCAAACGGGAGTTGGGGACATGGTTGGTGTCTGGGAAACCATGATCCAGTGAAATGTCATTCAAGGGGGGTGATAGCAGCCAGGACATTATCACAGAGGTGATGGCAGTGGTGACACAGTTACGGGAACAGGAGCGAGACAGCCGGTTTGTAAGGGGGCTTCCTTGTAAGTGGGGGCCAGAAGTGTGGTGCTGAAGGGTGATGGAGGAGGGTAGGTGAAGGGGGGCACTTTCTTCTTTTTTACTGGAGGAGTTTGAGCATATTAAAGGACCAAGGGGGAGAGGCTGCTAGACAGACATGCCGTTGGATGGTGGTTTCGTTTTTGTTGGATTTAGCCCTAAGATGTACTGATTTTGGCAGGAGGCATCTCAAGGGAGCCTTACTGCTCTGGATTGAGGGGTGATGGAGCAAAGGGGGTGAAGCCAATCAGGGAAGGCTAGATTTTGAAGATGAGAGAAGGGCCTTCGCTTAGAGAGGAACCCTAGTTCAGGGTGAGTTTTGTGTTTTGTGATAAGCACAAAATGGGGACTGGCACTCAGAGAGAGGATTGTTATGAGATAAGCTAAAATGGGACTGTTGCAGTAGATAGTAAAATCTTTGGATTGGGACTTTCGTGCTCCCAGCACAGGGCCTCAGGTTCAATCCCTGGTCAAGGAACTAGAACCCACATGCTGCAACTAAAGACTCCGCCTGCTACAACAGAGATCAAAGGCCCTACATGCTGCAACTAAGACCCGGCGTAGCCAAAATAAATAAATAAAAATAAATATTAAAAAAAACACTTCAGATTGCACTGGAGCACAGCTTTTAAGGTCCAGTACTGTCAGAAGTTTCTCTTGTTAAAAGCAGTCTTAAGATGTTGTTTTCCTCTTAAGGCATGCTTTTCCTGCAGCAGGTGGTTCTTCTAAGGGTGGGTATTTGTGTACACAGCCTTGTCATTTTCCCGGGTCCTGGTGTCCTCGGGGGGTCACATTGTCTGTGACGTCCTTTCTCTGGCTGCCCCGTCCTGGCGGTGCTTTCTTGGCCACTGACCTCAAAGCCAGTCTTGTTTGTTTCCTATCAGAGCCCATCCCCCTAACTTAATAGATGTCCTTTGATTAGAATATTCTCCATCCTCAGATTTCACTCCAGATCTTTGTAGTCACCCTCATCTGTTTTTTTCCCTGGACCATGCCTCTTGTCTCTGAGGTTAGCTCTTCACCTCTGTTGACTTTTTATTTTTAAAAAAATTTTAAATATCCCAAACACCCCAGGGTATTTTCTCACTTTTCAGGTCTGTTAGAGCCTCTGAACCTTGAGTCTGAGCTAAGCACCTGGGATCATTTCTCAGACTTCTTACAAATGAGATTTTTTTCACTCTTAATGCCTGTTGTTGGGGTAATGGTCTTGAAATTGATGTAAAGATGTTTTCAGTTGTATTACATATTCTTGAACTTTTTCAGTGTTTTATTTATTTTAATTTCTTTCTTTTAGTTTTTGCTTTCTGGTTCTTTACAGGAGATTCCCTCATGTTTGGATGCCTACCATGTATCATGAGTTACTGGTGGTGACAGGATTGATACAGCCAAACTCCTGTCCTCTAAAGCCAGAGATGTGAGGCAGAGGGTTAATTGTCTCATTCACCATCTATAAACTCCTGATGGGCAGGAACCTGACAGGTGGTGCCTGTCTTGGTAGATGTGTCTGGCTTTGTCAGATGACCTCAGGTAAAGACCTCAGTAGCTCATAGCCTTAGCTCAAAGGGGTAACACTCATTGTCTTCCGCCAGCCAGCTTGACCTTTGGTCTCTGAGTGCTTCTGACAGTATTGGACCTTAAAAGTTGTGTTCCAGTGCTATCCAAAGTTTTCCTTGTTTTTAATGTTTATTATTTTGGCTGCCCCGGGTCTTAGTTGCAGCATGTAGGGTCTTTGATCTTTGTGGCGGCATGTGGGATCTAGTTC